TAATTTGAAATCGTTCCGGTTTGCGCCAACATAATCTAACTTCTACCAAAAACGTCCATCTCACTGGTTCTCGGTTTTCTACCCCTCGCCTTATGTACCTACCACTGTTCAAGAACAGTGAGTAGGCATCTTGTCAGCAGGCGTTTCAGCTGACTCCCCACTCATCATGTTCTAAGCCAGATTGGATGAGTTTCTGAGCACCAATCAATCCAGTAGATGCCAATGAAATCCATTGCTTTACCTTAACCTCATGTTTCACCTTACTGGCAGGTATCGGTGCCGTTTTCACAGCTTATTGGATATTGTTACGAACGGTTGGCATCACTTCACTATTTTTCTAGTTGCGCCTGAAATATATTCTTGGCTTTGCTATCGTTGAGTAAAACCCTAACAGGTTTCCTTGCGACCAGTAAGACGCAGACAAATACGCGCTCATACTGCAGCATGCTGATCCATAACGAGTGCCAATCTTCTGTCGAGCCTCGTCATCGGTGGTTGATAGAAATGTAGTCTGGTTAGGTCGATTTTGGGGGTTGCCAAACCAAAAGATGCTTTTCCTTGTGCTCAAATTTAATATTCGCTAGAGATGGGTGGTTATCTGAGCACGGCTTTAGCAGACAGCCGGCATCATCGTTCTCTGAGCTGGATGACACTATAAAATCCACCCAGCTGTTTTTCGGTTTCGCTTAAGCTACGTAATTGAGTATTAAAGTCACTATTACTACATCAAAGTGTCTAAGGTTTCGAAGGTTAGTAAGCTTTATCTTATCTTATCTTTCACCTCGTTCGACCTGGTCAGTGGGAGCGTAAGCAGTTACAACGTAGAGGCCCAGGCGAGTGTCCCTAACTTTACGAGTTTTTACTGTCCTGTTTAGTAGCACAGCACATAAGAGACTGTCTAATATGACCCAGTATACGAATACCAGATAAGAAAGCTATCTGTCAGATTTGTCAATGTCCGGACATTGAAAACGCCAACATGTAGATCAGAGTGGGGTTTCAGGAGACCAGGAATAGCGTTTTGTGAACTCGCATCGTTTGCATTAGCGATTCAGGGTGTTAAACGAATACGAGAAGGGTGAGTCGTGAAGATAAGAGAGATGTTAGGTGTAGGAAGGAATTGATTGTGACTAGTTTGATCTCGTGTACTGATACGGGTGTGAGGGCGGATGTTAATTCCCGGATGCCCACAACGTGGAAGGGTATTTCTCGAGGAACCTAACAACAATAATTATAATAAATACAATTACCTTCAATTTTATAGATTCCTGGAGCAAAAAACTGCAAACGAACAACCAAGACAAACAGGAGTCCAAAAATGGCCGAAAATAATAATTCAAACAAGTTCATAAGTTAAGTAAAACAAATATACTCAAAAAACACAGTGAAATTAATGGTATTTATATAAAGGTTTTAATCAGCCAAATTTCTTCATTCCTCCCGCAACATGAATGCAGCTGAAAAGTGTGCTGCCGGGCGCAAATCTTTTGGCCTGAGTAGTAGCTAGTCTGGGGATCTTTCTTCTATCATTTCACCGATCGATGTGCAGTTGCCTCCAGGCTAAGCTGTAACTGACTGATTCACTTAGGCCTGACGAGAAAGAGTTCGTTACAATAAGTTTTGTCACAGATAATAACTCCTTGAACAGAGATTTATCTCTTTATTTGGTCAGGGTTCACCTTCGTCACTTAATTTATTCGCATGATACTGAATCGTTACTAGACTCGGAGATGCACCATGATGAGGCTGACAATTAGTGCTACTTGACTAATGGGAAAAGCCTAGGAGGTAGAATTTGACCATGTTTTTTGTGAATATTCTTACTGATTCTCCGGTTACTATTAAACCTTTTGCTATTTAGATTGCCGCTATGAGCTAGAACAACCCATGTTTGTTTCGTTATTTCTGTTCTACGTTAGAAACTAAATCGAGTACAAAGTCCATATTTTAATGTGAGTTATCGGGAGTGACTCCAAAAAGCTCCATATACTATGTAGAAGGTTGACGTTTAGCAAAATCAAACAAAATTTGATTTATTTGGTTTAATTTTGCGTTCACTCCAATTATTGAAGTTTTGTTTGGCACAGTGTACCCTAAATTGTCAACTGACTTTGCCTCTCTATAATCCATCAAATAGCAATTCAAAGTTTTCTCTCGCACAAATTAACATATTATGATAAATAGGTAGGTAGTAATTAGTTGTTTGGTTTTGAAAATCAGTAAGAGTTCCCAACAAGATGGAATCAAATATCTGCCCACAAGGATTGGATAAACCGTTTCCAGAAGGCAGGTGAAGATCAACAATCATTCAAAAGACCATGCTGTAGTCTTCAGTTTAGTCGAAACGACCGAACAATCAATATCTCTTCAACAAGCATCGGTAATTAGCATAATAAAGTAACCATCAACTAAAGTCGAAAACTAATGGCTGAGAAACAACAAGCATGGTAGCAAGAGTCACGAGTAGATGTTATATACAAAACATGGTCAAAGAGCAAAGAAATAACAACACTTCAATAAAAGGCTGTGGATAGAATTGCAGAGTATTCTTTTGATAATAAGCCTCGAACCTTCATTTTGACATGTCTAAAGCATTCCATAGATTATCCGCAACATCTTATTCGAACTGAATCATTTTTAAATGATCGGTTTCCGAAATATAAAGGTCACCTCGAAGACATTAGCATCTAATACAGTAAGGTACGGTATTATTGAAGAGAGTGTACTAGTGAATTTTTAACTATTTCACCTCTGTAAAGACTTTCCGATATGCTTATGAACTGAAGGTAGTCTATTATAAAGATGAAATATTCAACTCTGTTACTTTAATTCAGAAGGAATTAAGCTAGGTGGATATTTATTGAAAAAATAGAGAAAATGGTAAGTTAACATATCAACGTGATAACATCGTAGACATTTGCTTAGTACACTTGGATGATCTAAATTTTCAGAACTAACAGCGTGAAGCAGCAAGTAAATGTTTGAGCCGTACAATTCCTAGTTTCCTCGAGCGTGAGTTTAGACAAGTGCCGCATAAAGTCTGCATCCTCATTGTGCTTCATTACTGTCTGTTTATACTCAGCAGCCTTCTTTTAAGCGACAAGATCAAAATTGAAGGAATACAAAGATATTTCTCCAAAATGACTTTAGGAATCGAATTTAATCTGAGTTACTCTGTACGATGTGACAAATTTGAGTTAAAACCTCTTTGACAACGAGAGTTAAGCTTGATTTTACATGTTGCCTCAAGCTTGTACGCAGATTACTACACTCTACGGACACCTTATCGGTATGCCAAACTATAAATTAGGAAATTACTCTAGGTTAGCCGACATACAGTATGGTAGGTTTGTTTATCTATATCAGCATCTCGATACATCAGTAATACGTATTCATACGTATTCGTACTTGTGACAGATATTTCGATTAAATACCAGTTGTGGCAATTACTTGGAGACCATTACCAAGAGACGCCAAAATATATACAAAATACCGATCCTTTTAGCTGTGGGATGACTGTACCATTTCTACATTAATTTCAACCAACAGTTCATCCTCGTAGCACGGCATGTACATGAGGTGCCAAGGTTTACATTTCAGCCTTAATTTCACTAAACATCTTTTTATATATACACATTATTTTGTCAATCAAACTGGTTAGACCAGTTGACTATAATAAATGTTGGAACCTGTGTAAAAACTTTATCCTGCCCCGTAAATTGGCATGCACCATGTAACTGATGGTTATTTGAGAATGAACTTTTATCGTTACTGAGAATCATGAAGTGCCTAAATAGTTTATGAACAGGTTTATGCAGCTGATAGGTACCCACAAAGATACTTTTGATCAAATCAAGACAACAATCGCATTAAACTGTACAACAATGATTTGTCAACAGAAAAAGGTATTTCTGTCTTACAAAGAACAATTTTCCACCCGGACAGTTCAAGTTGTTCCGAAGTCACACAGTTGAACAACACGATAATGAAATGAAAATTCAAGAATCACACAAAATTACATGTCATTCACTGTAAACATTCCCAACAGGAAATAAAGTTTCTATCCTTTCCAGGTGATTCCATTTGATTTGAATAAGTAATAATGATAATAATAATAATAGAACTAATTATAATTATAATTATAACAATAATCACGAACAAATCCACCTTTTGTAAGGGCCGACAAAAATATAGCACAACCATAAAACAGAGTTAAAGAATCGATCATTATTAACTTAAAACCATGAATGCGATATGAATCTATACAGAAAGTTGGGGGGAAGGGTTGCGTTGCGCATAAGGATAGACAAGTAAGTAGTCACACGAAAAAACACGGATGAAGCGATTATACTAAACTTGCGTAACTGATGAAACAACAAGGTACATAAGTGATCTTTTAACAAGCTTATTAGCGACCGTAATGGGTTGTATAAAGTTGGTACTTACAAGTGGTTATTTTAAGTTGTTTGGTTGTGCTTGAGCTTGAATAATTCAGTTAATTTGTTCAACAAATATAGTTCTCACATGTTCATTGTATATAAACAACCTTCTAGTTTTTTACCAATTATGAAGAAAAAAAATTATTTAGAGTCGTTTCGCTGATGGTCAGTAACATAGTGATAGATTTCTCATCCAAAACTACGCAGTAAGTAAAATCATATTGGAATCTATCTCTCAATAGAACAAGTTTACTTAGCGACTGACAGCATCACTGAGGAAAGCTGATAGCTGGCACTGGTATGTATCATGGTTTATGAAGCTAACACTTAAATAACTTTTTCACTTTATAATGTTTCAGCATATCTTTCAAACATAATCGGATTTAGTCTAAAACACTGGTCACCTTTAATAAATATTATCACGTACATCAGCCATTTACTTATGGGTGTCGAAATCCGTGAAACTGACGCGTAATACAAGCGTTATATTTTTTGTTAGCAGAAAAACAAAGACAGACAAAATAATAAATTATATTTACTTTTTGTTAAGAAGTAAGAGCTAAACTTTTGAAAATGGCTCATAGAAAATTTGTCATAGGAGAATTATTAAAATTACGGCTTAATATAAATAACAAGATTAAAGAACATCTAGAATTTATGGGAAATCAAATTCTTCTTGATTGTCTACAGGTATTAAGGTATTCATACAAGAAGTCTCGATAAAGAAATTTTATGAGCCTGTTAATGTTAAGATCGAGTCTATTAGTAGTCAAAATATGTGAAAAATATCCGAGAGATGCTTACAACATTAGGAATGTATATGTACTCATGAGAGAGAATACGCCTGCGTAAGTGTGGAAACATTTTCGTGAAGTGACAATGCTATTCATCTTCTGGGTAGGCTACCAAGCCAAAATTCTGTAATAGTGAGGATAATAACAGACAGGTGATATAAAAAAGGTTTAAAGAACAGCTAGTGAACTCCGATTTACAAATTAAACGAAGCTGTAGTGAAATAAAAATTATCGCTGTTGACTATCGTTTTTGGAATATAAATAAGTTTACAAATCCGCAAATCAAGAAGGATTTTTCAGGCATTTAATATTCTGAAACCGATATGTATCAATAAATTCCCACCGTAATTATATATTTCAAACTGTTGATAAACGGTTTTATAGGATTCTTATTTTAAATACAACCTTTATTGGTATTCCCTTTACAAGTATCATTATTAATTAATAACTTCAAACTAAGTTTGATGGATTTTTTCTATTTTTGTCCAAGTACCCTTAACTTATTATTTACTGAACATAATAAATCTTTTCAGTTTATATGGTATAGAAGCCATAAAAGAGAGTAGATAAGAACAAGCTGTGATGCTTATTCATCTGGCTTACAGTTAAGTCTAAGAACAGTGTTAATGAGTTAACTTTTTTTCAAATCATCTATTATAATTTAGTTGTAATTTGCAAAGTAATAACATATGTTCAGAAATACAATATATAGATCAAAATTTTAATTTCATAAACATTTAAGATATCTTTTCAAGTAATATTTAGTTCCTTATGTTAAGAAATATCGGCCTCGAGCTCTTCTGGGGTTACTGCGTTCCTAAGCCAGGATAAATGAAGAAGGTTTGGGATTGGGTTAGCAACTCTATACCGTAGAAAACAAAATCGCTAAAAACCGCTAACTAGGAAAAATAGTTCAAAACACTGCCCCGGGGATAAGGAAGTTCTCTTTTAGAAGATTAATGACACATAATGGTGAAAGCTCAGTCTCTTTGGAAATCATCAGGTTGGTGGCCCTTCTGACAAACAGAGAAAAAACTAATATAGGTACATTGAGTGTTTGCACATTGAGGAGACTGCGGGAAAAGATAAAATTTGGTGGTACTTGGAATCAGCGAAGCATATTGGACGCAGGTTGAACAAAAAAGACTAGCTTCAGGAGCGATGCTGTTCTACTATGGCAATGAAGAAGAAAATGCCTCACACACAAAAGGAGTTCCACTGGAGCTCTCCAAAGAAGCACAAAAGGCCCTAATAGGATTGGAATCTCATGGACCCAGGACCATCAACGGATCCTTCAAACCGAAGAAAGAGGGCATTTCAATGGACTTCATCCAAAGCTATGCACCTGCCAACGACTACAGTGACAACATTGAAGATATGTACTACGAGAGGCTGCAGTCAGTCGTCAAGAAATGCCCAACAAATGACTTGATCATTTTGATAGGAGACCTAAACCACGAAGTTGGAATGGATAACAGTGGATATGAAGATATCATGGGATGACATGGAATTGGAGAAACGAACGAAAACTATCACACATCGGTTTCACCGAATCACACTACGCAGAAACAAATCAATCACATTTGCATCAGTAAAAGGTTCTCGAAGGTACTTGAAAGATGTGAGAACAATGAGTAGAGCTGACGTAGCTTAAGGTAATCGCCTGATAGTGGGCAAAATGAAACTGAAACTCAAGAAGCATTGGACATCTGAGCGGAAAGCATCAGAAAAGTTCAGTAAGGCTTTTCTTCCGGATACTGACAAACTCACCGAGTTCAAGATAGCCCTCAGCATCAGGTTTCAAGGCCTTCACGATCTACTCAATGGAGAGGAAACTACCATAGAAAACAATTGGAAAGGGATAAAGGTAATAATCATCTCAACATGTCATGAGGTTCTAGGCCACAAGAAGTACCATCTTCAGGAATGGATCTCGGTGGATACACTGGGTAAGACTCAAACAAGAAGGTAGCAATCAATATCAGCCGAAAAGAGGCAGAGAAAGCCAAAACACAACCCGAATACACAGAAGTAAACAAGTAGATGAAGAGAAGCTGACAAACTGTAATACGTGGAAGATCTAGCAAAAACAGCAGAAAAAGCTGAAACAGAAAGAAATATGGGACGACTATATGATACAACGAGGGTAGAGTACTTTAAAGAACTCTTGAAAAGACCAGTCCCCCTTAACCCACCCAGCGTTGATGCAGCTCCTACGGACATCTCAATTAATGTTGACCCACCAACAAATAAAGAGATCAGCCCGGCCAGTAAAAAAATGACGAGCAGCGAAGCAGCAGGACCAAAGAAGGGAGATTTCGGCAAGTGTGAGAACTACAGAGGCATGACTCTTTTTTAAATACCATGAGAAATCTTTTACTGAGTGTTTTTGAGCCCAGTAAAAGATTCAGTAGACGCCCAACTTCGAGGTCATGTACTGACAAAATTACAAAACTACAGATCATTATTTAACGCTTGGTTAAATGGAACTTGTAATGACTCCACTTTTATGAGGAAAATGTGATTGGTTGAATAAAAACGTTCATCATTATAACCAATTGTATGAGTGATTGTTTTACTGAAATCTTTGATTATTCGCACTTTGCGCAAACAATTTCCATTTGTTTTGTTGTCATATTGGTTACACTGCTCGTGTTAGCTTCGCACATATTCTTTGGCACGATCTCAATATCACCAACAAATATACTCCCTTTACTGGATTATATCTTCTTCTCTGTCTTTGGTTCACGACGGCGTTACGATTAGGGACGGGAACATAATTAGTTTGCATTGGTGAACTTCGATTCATCCCACTTCAAAATCATGACAGTACATCAACTTCCTTGACTACGAGAAAGCGTGGGTACAGGATGACATTAGTGGAACTTCGTTGATATTTTTATGTATCTGAGAAGATAGTCATTTTGATACGGAATTCTCAGAATGAACTTGTAGTGGAATACTTTTATGGAGAGAACGCGACTGGTTTAATAGAAACCTTCATTATTATAACCGATTGTTCCAATGATTGCTTAACTGTACTTTTTGTTCAGAACACGTTTTTACGCTCGACTTTATACTTGTGTTGCTGCCATCTTTGCTGTAACTATTCTTTGATTTTGCCCACTTTGCTGGTGTAATTTTGGTGTTCTTTCGACGCTAAGAAATAACCAGCAAACATATTCTTCACTCTGGATTTATTCATATTCTCAGTGACGGGTTCATAATGAGCATTTGGTGGTGATCATAGTCAATCTCGACTCGATTACCAACTCAAAATCGTGCACCAAGGATAGCTGACTGACTCGTTCGAGGTGAAGGCCGTTGTCAGGAAAAGTTGCTTACTTTCACTCTTGGAAGCACACGTGGAAAGAATGAACAATCACTGGATAGAACTGGAAACGAAGGCTCAGGGAAGAGTGGATTGGAGAATGCTGGTCGGCAGCCTATGCTCCATTAAGAGTAACAAGCTAAAGTAAGTAGGTAAGTATTTTAGAACGGTAAATATATAAGAACAAATGTTACAGGATCATCTACTTTTAAAAACATGGATATGGTTGACCGTTATTTGGATTGAAAACTTCATGAATTTTGAGATGATGGAGAAAATTTGTATCACTGTTGGATATATGTGTTGGAGTTTCGTTCTCTGAGTTGGACGTTTTGGTTGTGGAGCTTTCATTATTGTTCTGAACAACATCGGCACAAAATTCAGATAGCTGTCATTCAGAGGAAGAATGAAAGCTCCGCAACGAAAACATCCAGATGAGATAACGAAACTTCACAAGAAATATTCATAAATATTAATAATTAGTGATCCAAGGAATTTAACAGAAAAAATAATGCACAACATTTTTAAAGAAAACTATTGATTTAAAAAATGTAAAATAATCTATTTGAACTTACTATCCGGATTACGTAACTTATTTATAGGAAACTGATTATGATGACTAAGCTTTGTATTTGTACCATACTGATTTGTAGAATATGAAGAACATGTAAAAGCTGGTAAAACTTGTGGAGTAAATGAGTGCTGATTACCAGTAAAAGAATATGTATAGTCCTGTTTACCTGTACTGGTTGCATGAGTTGATGTAGATGACTTTTTTAAAAAATTCTGTTGAGATAAACTTTGCAAGGGTGAACGTGTAGAAAAATTTACTTGGCCAATAGAACTACGTGATGCATTTTGTTCAGGATGTGAATAATCATGATGGATATCAAAAATATTTGGAGAAGGCATAATACCTATTGGTTGTAGTATAGAGAGATGATGATGATTATGGCAATGATGGTGATTGCTTAATGAAGTTGAAATCGGTTGATAAACTGAATGACTGATATTCATTGGGAATTGCAACGAAAATGTTGACTTTCTATGATGATTTGGTGGCTGGTAATATCGTCGACTTTTTGAATCTCTTAAAAGACAAAAAGAAAAACATTCAAAATGATATATACATATATATGTATGTATTTATCATAACCCTTGTCGTTACTTTTTAATCTGATGGAAAACTGTTTTACTATGTCCGAATTTCAGTAGAAACAATAGCATTAAGATGTTGAAACATCCAGGGCAGGAATTCTACAAAGATTGAAAAATCCATTTTGAATATTAGTTGAAGATAAGTCGTTCTAAACCATAAGTTCATTTTATAAATTTCAAAATTATTATGAAATGTGTGGTTTATTCAGTAAATTTTGGGCAGTAATCTGACAACTGTCGCTAATCATATTGTTTAAAATGTACTGAACAGATACATCACATTTTTTGCTCTACTCATTTTTCTTATAACAACTTAAGGAGATAAGCCTTGATATTTTTCATGTCACTTAAACTTTACCAAGTATTTATTTTTAACATAACAGACAATAAATAATTTCTATAAAATTTTCACTTGTGCCTCATGTATACGGGACAAAATTACATTTACATGTTAACCAAAAAATAAATGAATTAGGTAATCGTCTACCATAAGTAGGAAATAGTTGTATGTGTATATCAAGACGTGCTGATTTTTCCATATATTTATCAAATAGCTTAAACGTAGAATAGAAAGCTCCGAGAAACATCGGATTAGTTATGACAATTTAATACACGTAATAAAATCAGTTCTTACACTGAAATCCCACCATTTTGAGTACATTAGATATTTTAAGAATCAGATGACGATTTATCTATAAGTATTGTTGAAACTTTGTTTGGACTAATGGTATTTCGACATACCATGGAAAATACCATTAGATGTCTTGGTCGTTCTTAAAAGAAACTAACTTACTTCGATGAGTTGTTTGTATTAAAACTGATTTGTGATGTCCATGTCTGCAAAGGAGTGGATGGAGATGTTGAAGTATTTGTAAGTTGAAAGGTGGGAGGATTTTCTTGTTTGCTAATTGTTTGACTATAGGTTAACAATGGAGATAATGAAGACAATCCTGTTCCTGAAGAAACATTTAAAGAATTATACGTGTTTGTCTGGTCTGATTTTGGTGGGTTTTGATAAACTCCTCGATTATGTGAGAAAAATGGATAACTGCTAGTCTGACTCAAAGTTAGATAAGGTAAACGTTTATTTATAATCATTTCCTTAGGTTGTGAGTCCCCAGATTTTGAGTCCAAATATTTGCCAACAAAAGTTCCTTTAGCTGTTGAAGTGCAGTCGACTGGTTCATTTGAAACATCAGTAACCTGTATTAAAATAAGAAAAGCGTATTTAAACACTCATAGTGATTCTAAATAGTCTACTGGATTTTCGTTTTTACAGTTCACTATAAGTATAGCATTTCAGTCATTAATAACAGATTTCCGCACAAAACTACGAATTCATATGCCTAGTGTGGATTTTTCCGTCAATTTATGGTGTAATTTTATCCGCTGACCTGCTCAAATTTATTGACGCATCATCTTGTCTGATGCGTTTTCTCTGACCTACTGTATGTGATTACCACATGCATTTGAACGATTTTATATTTGTTTTATAATGTATCACTGATTCAAAAACATCATCAGTGGTTGGTGCACTTTCCTCTCCATCTCTTCTTTGTATATACCAGAGGTGGTTTACATATCAAATTTATTAGGTAACGAAAACAGGTATCATGCAAGCAAGAATGAATGTAAACATTTGAGCAAGAATATCAACGGCTGCTTATCACACTTGTTAAACGATTTTGCACTTGTTTAATATTACATACGGTACGTTAATGTGATGGTGCATATTTCTTGCTGAGAGTTCTGCATTGTAATCAAATATACAACATTAAATATGGAAATAATTATGATTATCATTACGAAAGTATTAAATGTATCTTATCTGCAGTTCATTTAAAAGCTAGTAAGAAGTAATAACTACAGAATAAAATTATTTCATTCGTAGAAGAACTAATAAATGTTGCTTATTTGTTAAGTTGAGTGGGTTGAAGAGACCGATATCAGTTTTTCGTGAACTGTTATTACATGGAATTCATCAAGAACTTAAGTATACTTGCCAGCAGTATGTTTTTTTTAAATTTTTCCAACAGTGTCTACACGAAGTGGTAAGAGACTGAAAATCGAAAGGGACAACGGTTCAATGCTTTTGACTTTCAATGGTACTTTGTGACGAAATACTATCTTCAATGATTAGCTTTTCCCATGAAGTGATTAGATCGATATTGGCAATAAAACCAATCAAAACCCGATACACACAAATATATTATTGACCAAAATCAATTCTTCATTTTAAACAGTATAAGTTATATTGGAAAGGAGACTTTAAATACAAAGTAATTATTACAATCTGAACAAAGAAAATGTAGATAATTGTTTGTGAAGAAGGACATATCAACATTCAATATAATTCTTATCATAGAAAATCATTAAACAGTCAATAAATAACTGACCACCATATTCTAACAATCACTGGTGTACTTATTATTGAGGAACATCATAGTTAAGTTGAATAATAATAAATTCGTTTGTAATTTTTACAATTCATTAGTTTTATGCAAATGTGCATATATATATATATATATATATATATATATATATATATATATATATATATATATATATATATATATATATATATATATATATATATATATATATATATATGACCCCATCAACAAACCTTAGCAACAAAACTGTTATTGAACGGAGATTGATTAGTAGTATTTATTAACGACGGTTCGTTATTTGTTAAATTTGTTACTTGTAGTGGGGATACTGATATAGAAGCGGAAGATAATTCAGTGTCATTCACAGGTTCACGTAAATCTCCGAAAATAGAGGACTTCGAGATTGAGTTTGTCGGTTTTGGACTTTGACATTTAATCGTTGTAAGCAGACCAAAAGACTTCTAATGTAAAGAAATCGAAAAACATCGGTAAAAGGATAGGAACTTCATTGATCTTAAATATTAAGTGATTATGCAAGTTAAATTCACTGGACTAAAATTTTTCATGGTTTGAATAGAACAGAAATTAAATCTTACAAGTAAATCAAGTCGTGAATTGATGCATAATTCCTATAATCAGTACAATTTTATTATAGAACATACACTTTGAAACTATTAAGTATTATATACCAGAATACCAGTCTTTCAATAGTCTGTTTAACTGGATTTCAGCTATTATGTTAAAGGGTATAACTTAGCTCCGTATGTTAAAATTTAAGCCACCTAATAATACCAAATATAAAGTGTTCTTTAGAGGCATAAAATAAAACTGCACCTGGTTTTTAAAATGTATTAATTAATCAGTCTAAGTAGTGTTGAAAAGGCACTGATTAATCTAAAACTTTTACTTGAACCAAAATTTTGTATTGTCAACTGAATTTATCAAATACTGATTATTTGAATCGGTGATGGAGACTATTCTTTCTGAATACTATTAGCTGTCAATAAAGCAATCCATTAAAGCCAAATAAGTCTCTCCAACATATTGTTTCCAAATTAGTATCACTCAAAATAAAACTAACAACTTCAAAAAGAATACCTATTATAACAAAAAGTTTCATCAAACCATTCTTTGTATAAAACTATATTCGTTTCAGTATGGTAATGCTTTGATAAATCTAATTGTTACTTGATTCATTTTATGTGATTTGTAGGATAATCAGTTACTTTGGAGGAGTGCTCAGAAGTAATGTCCGATAAGTTTTTATCAGAATACAACACTTCGTCGGATTGCACTTTTGAATCTGTTCAAAATAAAACTCGCGATACTAAAATCTCATGTGATTTCAAAGCTACTTGTTTATTGGTTTTGACCTTAGCATTATGTAATTAAAAAGTATTTTCGATTAAGTTGACAGAAAATGTGAAAGCAAACCACATGATATTAGATAATTGAATATGACTGTAAAGTATGGATGTGCAGTGATCAGAATTGGTGTAGAGGTCTTTACAAAAACGTGACCGTCGTAGGGTTATTCCTGTGCACTACCAGAGACTTGCGATCTATAAAAGCAGCCTTTTAGTACAATATGGTATTTGATGGTTTCATGACTGATATCAGTTTGTGATATGCATGATATTCTTTTTATTCAGTAAACTAAGGCGATAATAAGTTGAAACATCACAGTGGCATGTTAAAAAAATTCGATTAGCCCCTAAATAATTTTTTTCCGATAAAACCACTTCATAAATTCTTAAAGAATTTAAGTTAAATATCAGGTTACTACACCTGACAACAGATAAAAATTTTCCATTCAGCGGCAGTAAAATTATGAAATATTGACTATGTAATTAAACTATTTGTACTTTTTATCGTATGCAAATCCTCTGTTTAATAAAACTAGGGAAGATCCTGAGTTCAGTCCTTAGTAGGATGGTGAACAAGCACTACTAGGAAGTACTGCATCTAAATTGGTCTATGACTTCAAAAGCTAGATGAATTTTCAGTCAAGGCTAAATAACCAGATTACAAGATTGTAATATAGGGCCAAAGCATTTTATATTAACCATTTGCATTTGTTATATATCTATATGACTTTAGTCTACATCTTGTTTTAAACAACTTACTTGTGGGATAGAAGGCATCTCATTTAATCGGTCACTAATTTTTTCAACTGCTGCTGATATTTCATTTGAATTGGAATCATCATTTTTATTGAGAACATTATCTGATCCATAGTGTGGTTTCTTGTTCAATGTGTCTAATAAATGCTTAGGATAGAAAATTTTAAAAAATGTGTTTAGTGTTATAAAGTTAAAGTTTAATGCCTTTAAATAAGCAAAGTGAATTAAGAGAAATTTTATAGTACCCGATTTAACACGTAAACTTTGCGCAGAAAACATTGGAGTGAGTGGTGATTTAGCCAAAAACCTGTTTTTGAATATTTAAACATTTTATTCACTATCAGAAACGTTGTTTTCTTAGAAAAATTCATTCAGATATATGTAATTTTCACACAATTGATAGATCACTAAGTAATGACAATTATCATGTTTTTTCTAGTTGTCCAGTACTGATCAGACTCTATCAGTCAAAGTGAAGTGTGGTCACTATGATAGTTGACTTTATATAACGAGTACTATATTGAGATGTGAAGCGGTTAGAGATAGTTAGCATGAGATCCGAGTTTGAATTATTCAGAGAGCATAAGTTGGCGCAGAATTGCAAATATATAATAAAATGTTCTGTATATGCTGATAGAACTCCGCCCGGAGCCCCTCTGGGATTATTGCCTATCCCAAGCTCGCATTAAGTAGGAGGGTTGGGCATCGGGCTAGCGACCCCATCCCGTAGAAAAATAACTGGCTAAAAAACGCTAACCAGAAAACACAATTAGAACCATTTTAACTCTGCCCTGAGAGTTAGGAGATCTTCATTCAGAGGAATTATGACGTCTCATGATGAAAGCCGAATTCCCTCGCAAGTCACGAGGGTGATGTCAATTTTCACAACCAGAGAAACCATTCTTTTAGGCACATGGAATGTTTGGACAATGTGGGAGACTGGAAGACTTCCAAATTGCTGCAAAAATGAAAAGATACAACCTAGAGGTGCTTGGAATCAGTGAAACATATTGGACACAGGTTGGACAAATAAGACTAGCTTCAGGAGAGCTTCTGTTATACTACATTCATGAAGAAGAAAATGCCTCACACACCACGAGTCGCACTGATGCTGTTCATACAACCACAAAAGGTTCTGGTAGCATGGGAATCTCATGGACACAGGATCATCAAAGCATCCTTTAAGACAAAGAGAAAGGATATTACACTGAACGTCATCCAATGCGATGCACCTAACAACGGCTACAATGACAACATTGAAGATCAATTCTACGAGAGGCTGCAGTCAGTCGTCAAGAAATATTCACCAAAGGATTTGATCATTCTGTTGGGAGACCTAATTGCCTAGGTTGGAGTGGACAACATCGGATATAAACATATCATGGGACAACATGGACTGGGAGAAAGGAACGAAAATGGTGAGAGAATCGCAAACGTATGTACCTTTAACAAACTGGTCATCAACGGAACAATATTTTCACACAAACGCAAACACAAAGCTACGTGGATTTCTGGCCACAGAAATTACAGTCACAAAGAATGGATCTCTGGTGGTACACTGTATAACATTCAGGAAAGGAGGAACAAGAACGCATCAATCAACACCAGCCAAACAACAGCAGAGAAAGCCATGCTGAATACACAGAAGCAAAGAAGCAAGTGAAGAGGAACATCAGAGTCGACAAACGTAAATATGTGGAAGATCTGGCAATGACAGCGTAAAAGGCTGCAAGAGAAGGAAACAGGAGACCATTGTACGATACAACAAAGAAACTCGCTGGAAACTATTGTAAACCAGAATGACTAGTGAAAAGCAAAGAAGGCAAAGTAATCAGCAACTCTGAAGAACAGCGAAACAGGTGAGTAAAACACTTTGAAGAATTCCCGAATTTACCAGCCCCATTAAACACACACAACATCGAAGCAGCATCCACGAACCTCTCAATCAGTAGTGACTCACCAACAAGTGAAGAGATCAGCATGTCCATCAGACAAATCAAGAGCAACGAAGCGACCGGACCAGTCAGCATTCCGGCAGAGGCAATGAAAGCAGATGTGGAAGCAACTGCGAAAATACTCCACATTATCTTCAAAAAGATTTGAGATGAAGAACAAGTGTCAACAGACTGAAAAGAAGGATACCTGATGAAAATACCAAAGGAAGGCGATCTCAGCAAGTGTGAGAACAACAGGGGCATCACTCTTCTCTCAATACTAGGCAAAGTTTTCAACAGGGTGTTGTTAAACAGAATGAAGGACCCCGTAGACGCCCAAATTCGAGAGCAACAGGCTGGATTTTGTAAGGATCGATCGTCTACTGACCACATCGCAACATTACGGATCATTGTGTAACAATCAATTGAATGGGACTCACCACTCTACTCCAACTTCATTGACTACGAGAAAGCATCTGATAGAGTGGACAGTACAACACTTTGAAGATTTCTTCGACACTACGGTGTGCCTGAGTAGATAGTCAACATCATACGGAATTCTTATGATGGATTACAATGAGAAATCGTGCACGGAGGATATCTGACAGGCTCGTTCGAGGTGAAGTCCAGTGTCATACAAGGTTGCTTACTCTCACCCTTTCTCTTGTTCCTGGTGATCGACTGGATCATGAAGACGTCAACATCTGGAGGGAAGCACGGTATTCAGTAGACAGCTAGGACGCAGCTGGACGATTTGGACTTCGCAGATTACCTGGCTCTTTTATCACACACGCAATAGCTAGTTCAAGAGAAGACAACCAGTGTAGTAGCAGCCTCTGCAGCAGTAGGTTTCAACATACATAAAGGGAAAAACAAGATTCTCCGATGCAACACAATATGCGCTAACCAAATCACTCTTGATGGAGATGGATCCCATGCAGATGTGAAATTGCGGATCGGTAAAGCAAAGGCAATTGAACAACACTTGAAACTCAAAACAACTGTTAACAAACATCGAAGTCAGAATTTTCAATACTGTTGGCAAGACCATCCTACTGTATGGAGCGGAAACTTGGAGAACTGCCAAAGCCATCATCCAGAAGATACAAGTATTCACTAACAGTTGTCTTCGCAAAATACTTCGGATCCGTTGGCCAGACGCTATCAGCAACAATCTACTGTGTGAGAGAACAAACCAGATTCCGGTGGAGGAAGAAATCAGGAAGAGGCGCTGAAAGTGGAAATGACACACATTGAGGAAAGCACCGAAATGCATCACAAGACAAGCCTTTACTCGGAATTCTCAAGGTCAAAGGAAAAGAGGAAGGCCTAGGGACAAATTACGTCGAAAAATAGAGACAGGAATGAGAAGAATGAACAAAAATTGGACAGAACTGGAAAGGGGAGTCCAGGACAGGTTAGGTTAGAGCAAACTGGTCAGAGGTCTTTGCTCTGTTCGGTTATAAGGCGTAAGTAATTAATATACAAATAGGTTAAGCAGACATGGCTTGTCCTGAAAATAGGGCAAATAAGCTAATTCATTGTTTTTGAGCCAAAATTCCTGTCTTTCGAACTTGTATGTTATTCGCTTATAATCTTGGTTGTTTTACTTGGGTGCATTTATGAATTGATTGCTTCACTTTTCACATGTCTGGCTTATTTTTTGTCTGACTATAAATACTCAGTCATATCTCATCACATTCAGTTGGCCTACTCGCCTTCTCCTTTTTGCTGCGCTTTACTTTCACGTTTTATATTCGATTGTCTGTCTGCTTACACTAGTGTATGAAATAATTTCGTGAACTAAACTGTATTTTATTTTTTATTGCACAAACGGGGTTCACCTAAGTAAGATATACGGAAATTAGATGAATGATTTGTTCAAATAGCATATTTAATTGGTCGTCCAGATAGGAGTTAGATTCCAGCCCACACAGAAACCTTAACTCTGAGACTAAAAGTAGATTGCTAAATGGAAGTTGATGTATGATAATGAGAATTGAGTTGAGTAATCTACTGAAAAGGTCATGATCCCATAGCAACACAGACATAAGATAGTTAAATCAAGCTATTAAGAAGATTTAATGAGGTTCCCAACATCTTGACAGATTCCGATAAATGTAAAACAAAGATGTTACATGTTATTGGGTTTCTGAAAGATGAATTGTATGTTTAGGTTTAAAATAACAACTTCGACCGCTTTTCATACCAAATACTTTCATATTAATTAGATGTTTATTTGATCCGAAGAAAGGAGTTTAGGGAAAAATCACCAAAAAAGCGATCAGTTAAGCAAATTGTTTTAAATTAGGAAACACTGCTACAATAATGTTCACGGTTAGCAATGACTCAATCAACATCAGAAAATATTACTGAGTGAACTATGTCCAGGGAAGACATTTTATAAAGAAAAAAGAAATAAAAAACTTGACTAACATGTGGATCTATGTTTTCATCGGGTACCAAATACTCATTGTATAATTGAGATTTAGCTGCAACTTTTGATTTAGACGCTTCATATGTTAGATTAACCTGTTCAGTAGCAGTAGATTTTACTTTATTCCCTTCTAGTTGAGTAAGTTTAGTATTAGGTGAAATGCCATTAGAAGTATTGTTAGAAGTTTTAGATGATTTATTTTGCTGAAAAATGTATGAATGTGTTTTGTGTATCAAATAAATAAATAAATAGCTTAACAAAGATCGTTCAAAATACGATGATAATGAAAACAAAGTATAAAAAAGTGTTTATTAGCTGTTTTAAATTAATTAAATAAGATTTTGAAGGCTATTTGTTAATTCGAATATAAATATATATCGTAAAGCAAATGCTTTTAATGTGTAATGTGTATCTTTCGATATCACTAGTTTTGTTTTAATAATGAAATTTATGAAATCTTCATAGCGAACTGGTTTGTTATATTTATGTTAATAAGAGTAATAATCTACAACATTATAGAAGGGGTTACTTCAGTCTTGATAAGTTAAAGATTCATCCAATATTTGCTACAATTGTCTTTCGAGAAACCCTTTTACAAAATATTTATTCGACAATATTATGTCACATACTCTATCTGCCCTGAAATTTCACGTCCTAATATGTGAATATATATGTATGTCCATAAAATCCGTTGATATATTTAAACCAAGAGGTGAAACAGAATTTTAGGGTTTTGTATTATCTCAGACAGGGTTGTTGATGGTGTTGATAAAAACTGCCAAATTCCAGAAGAAACTTCTTCTGTGATAATGTAAGAGAATCTCGTTAACTCTGAAATAGACAAGTGTCAACTTACTAAACATTAGACCTGTCACAAGTATCTGTAAATGCACTACATATAAGATAAATGTAACCAACAATAATTAAAATTGACTATGTCTCCTTTTATCTTGCAGTATGTTCAACCTTCTTATTTCTAATCTACTACGACATTCACATGGTGAGCACAGAATTCGATAAAAAAGTACACTAAGTTTTAAATATTATCAACATTTTCGTAAAATAACGATGTCGTCTTTGATGTTTGATCTCCCGATAGGCTTATGAAATAATTCGTGCCATTTTACATACATCGTAATATAAATTTATGAATTGCATTGAAATTCAAAAGTACGACTTTTAGAACTTTTATAATTTTAGTGAAGTTAAAGAACTAAAAATTTTAAGATTCATTGTTGAAACATCAAGTCAATAAGGGCTTATAATAGGGTTCGATTCAGTCAGCTTTTTGTAGTATTCGCGTGTTTTCACTTTACTCTAAAACACCATACTTAATTTCTATAATTTATTGACAAAAAAGTGACTACTTTAGTTTATTAAAGCAGACTCACTTATTGTTATCATTTTCATTGAAAATAAATTGTAAATTTAAGTTTATAAAATATAAATGACAAGACGTGGATCACTGAATACTTTTGGAAAACACTTTTTATTTTATTTGAATTAAATTGTAAGTTCCATTTGCTGTATAAGAAATTCTAGTGCATATCAACAGATATTACAAGATATAATATACAAAAAGTGAAATGTATTCAGGCAACTCACTTCTTTAATTTCACTATTCTGTTGACCAGTTTGTGATGTTAATGGCATATCAACATAATCTGTAGTTATAAATCGATCTTTATTCTGTTTTTTTAGATTCATTATATCTGACAAGAAAAGTTTAACGGTAGTAGTAGTTGTGGTAGTAGTAGTAGTAGTAGTAGTAGTAGTAGTAGTACTATTATTAGTAGTATTAGTGGTTGTAGTTGTCATTGATGTTGTCGTTGCTGTGGTTATATTAGAAACTTTCGACTCTACAGAGTTATTGTTATCATTATTATTATTAATATTGATTTGACAAGGTTGATCATTTTTAATTGTGATTTGATTATTATTATTACTGTCACTTATATTACCAGTATTATTGTCACTAGTAGTATTCGTAAGGGATGAAGGTATATTTGAATCTGTTTCATTTTTAATTAATGTTTTTAATTCTTCCAAGAATATAGATGCGAAATTTTCACGAGTGAAATATTCACTTCGTAAGAGAGCAGACGATGTCGGTCGATCGTTAGCATCTATTCGAAGGCAACTCTAACATACCATGAATACATAAAAGATTTTAAAGATTATTAAAGAACATCCAAGGCTGAATAAACAAAATAAAAGTTATGGTATGCTGAGTGAAAAATATTGATAATTAAGTAAGAAATACATTAGTAAAAATCAGCAAGACAGAATAATTTGTGAAGATGGAACCACGAATAACTACTTTTTCAAATATCATATTTATGTACAACGTTTTAACTTCATTGCTCAAGGATATTATGACCTTAGGTATAGAAAAAGCTATCGAAAATTCCTATAAAAATTCTAGACAAAAAGAGAATAAAACAATTGTAGAATAATGCGAGCACATAGTATTTGCAAACCTCTCAGCGATAAACAGCCTGGTCGTACAAAGAGTAATATATTTATAAATGAAGGTTTCGAATAATTTAGTTAGTGAGGCTGATACTGACATCAACGTGACGCAGGATAATTTTTTGACAACCATAGTAACTAAGCGTTTTCTTTGCATTATCATTTAGTTTCAATAACGTAGTATCAACAAATTTTTTCCCTTTATGTAATTATCTATAAATTAATATAAAAGAGTTACGGAATTATCTGTTTCATACGTGAACTTATTACTCTGATGAATCTAATTTGAATTGCATCACAATATGATTGATGACAAACTAAGAGTTTAAAACTGCTGTTATTTATTAATGTACACACTGGAAAGCCCAAAAACTTCAAGTCTAACTCAACTTCAGACAATGCTAATTGACATGATCTTAAAAACAAAGAATTTTTAATGAGATTAAAGTTGTAACTGATTTTCTTCTGTTCCATTTTGATCAAACTCAACATGACTTAATCTAGTGTCACGACCTTAAAGAAAAAAGTGGAACATTGAAACCGCTCAGTTGTATTTAAATTATTTTCGGCATTGAACTGATCCCTCAGTAAAGCACTTTAAAATTTGCAGTATTGTCGATGTCGCAAGAAAACTCGTCTTAAAGTTAATGAATATAAAAAATCGGGTGCTACCTTCACAATAATAGGTCGCTATCATGCACAGAATAGTTGCATATTATATTAACACCTAAAATTCTGCAAGTTTCTCGTGCTTAAGCGAATCAGGACATTTCTTTACTTATAAACCTTACAGCTTTAAGAATAAAAACAATAATATCGCCATCAATAACATTAGTTTAGAAGATCTAAAACACCTAAATAGTCAGAAATTTAATATATGCAACATAAAATATAAAATTATCAAGAAAAAGTATGGTAAGTATCTATGACAACAAATAAAATTTCTTAGATCTGTATACCTTTTTCACATGAAAACTAAATTACTAATGCCTTCTAGCCCTAGTTGAGAGTAGGAAGCAAATTAGCTATCTCCAAACAAATAAATCAGGCCTGAGCACTCTTTTACAGTTGTTCCCAATCGCTATCCATTCTTTTCATGTCCACTTCCAGTTCTTGGTGCAATTCGCTCTTTAGTCTACCTCTTTTCCTCTGGCCTTGAGGAATACGAACTAGGGCTTGCTTGGCAAGTCAGCTGGTTGCTTTCCACAAAGTGGCCTATCCACCTCTAGCACTTTTCTGAATTTCTTTCTCAGCCGAAAGCTGGTTTGTTCTCTGCAACAGTTCGTTGTTACTGATGCTGTTCAGAATTTGGACCTAAATTATCATGCATAAACAACTGTTTACAAACACCTGTATCTTCTAAGTGATGGTTGTAATAGTTCTCCAAAATTCAGCTAGAACCATTTAGACTGATGTATCGAAAACTCTGGCTCGTTGGGAATCGTTTTGACTTCCGGATGTTCTTCAATCGTAAAAACGATGTTCTTGTTTTTAATCCGGGCCTTCACCTACAACAGAGCTCCTTTCTTTATCAATGATGATGCCCAGAGCTATCTTGAAGTCGTTGACTTTTTCAGTATCCCGGAGAAAAGCTTTGTAAAACTTTTGTGATGTTGATCACCCAGTCGTCTAGTTCCTATTTTGTTTCGGTTTCATTTTGGCCAAGTGATGGCCAGAAGCTCTGTCACCTCCCCTCTTTATCTTCAAGTCTTCCGTGGACTTTCGTGAACCTTATATTGATGCGGATTTGACAGTCGCGGTTCTGTGTAGTGTGACACAGTGAAGGCCATGTGGCTTTGTGTATGTATTTGTGTGGGATTGTGGTGCCCCCTATGACTATCTTGTTGAAGGAACATAATTTACAAATCCTTCATTAGTCCCGTTGCTTTCTCCTAGTTCACGTTGTCCCACTATGTATTCATATCCGCTGTCGTTCATTCCAACCTTGGCGTCTCGGCTCTGCATGAGAATATGTAGATCATTTACTGGTCATTTCTCAACGATTGACTGCTGCCTCTCATGGGATTGATCTTTATCGTCCTCATTGTTGTCGTTAGTGGGTGCATAGCACTGAGTAACATTCATCATAATGCCCTCTTTCTTTGTCTTGAAGAATAGATTAGTGATCCTGGATCCATAAGATTCCCATCCTTTAAGTGCTGTTTGTGCTTCGTTGGACAGCGTCAGTGCAAATCCTCGTGTGCTGCATTTTAGTCCTCATGGCCGAAGTACAACAGCATCTCTCCTGAAGCTAGTCGTTTTTGTCCAGCTTGCGTCTGATGAGTTTCACTCATTCCAAGCACCACTAGGTTGTATCTTTTCATTCACTCAGCAACTTGAATGGTTCTGCTGGTCTCCCATATTGTGCGAACATTCCATGTGGTGATGTTTTGTTCTCCTTGCTCAATGTTTTGGTTGTGGAGCTTTCATTGTTCTTCTGATCAACATCATCAACACAAACTTCAGATAGGAATGAAACATTCGAATTTCTCCACGTTTGACCCGTAGATTGTTCTGCTGACCTCGAACTTGATTGGTTGCTACTGACCTTAAACCTGTCGTTGTTTGCACATTCCATGTACCTATATTAGTTGTTCCTGTTGTTGTCAGAAGGGCTACTGGCTGTGTTACTGTCGATAATACTTGCTCCTTACTATGGGGCATCATAACTCTTCTAAGTTAAGACTTTCTAACTCTCAGGGCAGAGTTTAAGTGGTTTGAATTATTTGTTCAGGTTATCCGGTTTTAGCGATTTAGTTTTCTACAGAATGGGATCGCTAATTCATGCTTAACCCTCTTATTTTATTCGAGCTTGGGACCGACAATGACATTAAAGGACTCCATACAGGATAAATTCTGAATCCTATTTTTAGAAGTAGTAAATATATATTACTCTTTCTAATTACCTTTATAAATCCAAGAGTTAGTTTGGAAACTTTAGCTAGTCGTTTCTCCAATGGATCAAGTTCTCTTGCAAACGGGACTCTCATTCCAACAAAAAGTGGATTTCGATGAAATATACTCTGATATTTTTCGCTCAAGTTACCTATAAAAAGTAAGATGATGGGAAATCGAATGAAAACCTTAGGTATGATTGCATTATTTATTTTAATACATGCAATACAGAAACCAATGTGCATAACAGTAAACAAAGTAAAAATCTTCAACAATTTCTTTGTCATATGTTATACCATGCTCATATTTTCTACCTTTTTGCAAATCCTTACTTTTTCTGTTAATGAGCGATATCGTTGTTTCTCTTGACTGGTAAAGCTAGCTAACACACTTCAAATAAAAGGCTTCATGATTATCTTTATCAAGTGTTTGTTTCAGAATTTCTTTTACTGGTGCTTATTTTGGTGAACTAATTAGATAATTTGTGATGAATTGTCACGTTTTCATATCATTATAATATACTTTCACGTTTCAGTAAACTTCTCCTCTTTCTGTTCTGGTAACAGTTTAGAATAATGATCAGTTACGTAAGTCTGTATTCCTTCAGAAATATATTTTTAGGTTTGTGATCGTTATTTTTAAATAAAATTAAACTGAAACCTCAAAAAAATGTCTGTGTTTTTTACGAATATATTTTTGTGATTTCATCTTTGAACAGTTTAATCACTTTGTTTCGAATGCATTCTAATAGTGTTACTAACAGTTGAAAGATTTATATCCAATCAGTTAGATTTTATTACATGGAATTGTTTTAGATTCTACTGTATGTATGGGAAGACTAGTTTATTTTAAAAATGTTTCATTGTGATCTGAGATATACTGACATATCAGTGAAAATAACAGTAGTTTTGAGATCTTAGGTTAGTACATTAGCGTCACATAGCGAAGACCATAAGCAGGATCCAGTTTAACACTTAAAAGTTTTGAAAAAAACTCTGATACCATTCATTCACTTTGGTCAAAGATCACTTGTCCAGTATTCAAAATTGCAGTGAATTCCGGCTATTTTTGACGTCACGTGTCCTAAATTCTAATTAAAATATTTTATCGATTTTAAACAAATATTGAAGTTACTGATTTAAACTTTCACCGTAAGTATCAATGTAAAATATGAGAAAAACTAAGATCGAGTATACTTTACCATTCATAATTTATGTCATATACTATTCATATTTAAAAATCACTAGAACCATAAAAAACAAAATCGATGTTCCATTCCATTATAAGACTCTTTACTGGTGTGCATTGACGACTCCTTCTACTAATGAACCCAAGACTCTCGATCACAACATATATACTAAATTTCCCAGTGGTGTACGCGTTCGACTGCAATCGAATTGTGGTATTGCCTCGGACCTGATAATGGACATTGAGCCGTCTTGACATGCCCCCTGTACTTATAATAATTTCACTGGGAAGCCATGATTAGTTGAGTTTAACCATATGGGATATGAAATATTAATTCCCTACAGTTTGTAGGCGATGCTCATACGATACTGAGAAATAATAAAATTTAAATATGTAAATTATCGGGTGCCAAATCATTGGTATAAAGCTAAATGCTCACCGCGAAACGTGAAGACTTTTGGTTTGATTCTCGACGAGGAGGTTAAGTTTCGCATCACAATGAAACAGGTCAGTGATGGTTTCTGATATAGATGCTTAATGAAGACTAGTACTGACAACTGTTATGTAACCAAACGACACAGAACCAAATTGACAAACCTGCATCAATAAAAAGTTCAAAATGGTCCATGGAAGATGTGATAACAAAAAGAGGAGCAGATATAGCATCAGACCATCACTTTATGGTGACCACTCAAGTTGCTGAGTGAATGAAAAGATACAACCTAGTGGTGCTTGGAATGAGTGAAACTCATCAGATGCAAGCTGGACAAAAACGACTAGCTTCAGGAGAGATGCTGTTGTACTTCGGCCATGAGGACTAAAATGCCACACACACGAGGATTTGCACTGACGCTGTCCAACGAAGCACAAACAGCACTTAAAGGATGGGAATCTTATGGATCCAGGATCACTAATCTATTCTTCAAGACAAAGAAAGAGGGCATTATGATGAATGTTACTCAGTGCTATGCACCCACTAACGACAACAATGAGGACGATAAAGATCAATCGTCGAAACAAATGAGCGAATAGCGATAAGAATGGAAAGCATACATGGAATGAATGAATAGGGATTGGAAACAACTGTAAACGAGTACTCAGTTGGTCGGTCGCAGATAGGTGATTCGCCTCACCCTGTTCAAGAGGGTCAGGTAATAATAACACGTAAATAAAATAAACAACAAAGATAGTATTTCAACAGTCGTTTTAACTTATGACATATACAGTCAAATCAAAAACAATGAATTTCATATTGTTTCGCACCATAAATAGGTACAAAGTGTACTGCTTACAAATTCTTTGGACTTTATCATGAATGTGTTTATCACGTCATCACTCAAGTAATGTCGATTGATGATTATTATCTGTAATATTTATTGTAATAAAAATTATTCGAATTTGACTATACAGTTCGCTCTACATTTATCAGTTGCTTTCAGACAATCCAGGTTTATTCAACTTAATAATTTGCACATTTACTAAATTAACTATACAACAACAGTTAGTTACGGAAAGGTGTTAGTAAATTTTTATATTCTTTGTGATCGAAAATACTTTGCAAACAAATTTCATATTCAGGTTCTGATTTAGCACAAATAAATCATTATTCTCTGAACGAACAAATTTATTCCTGATGGTAGGATTAATAGTCATTATATAACTTCAACACATTTTTCATGTAATCTACTTTATAAAATATAAGAGCTAAATTTTATGATCAAGTTTCGTAATTGGAAGAGTGTATTTATAACAATATCTTAAATATTTTTATTAAATAATGAAAAAGTTATTCACCACAGAGTTCATCTAGTAAAACCTGTAATACGTCATTTCATATAATGTAACCCAAACTTAGAGTAACAAAGATAAAGGTGTCTATTTGGTTAGATCACGGGCTGTTTTTGAGTGATCGTGAAATAATCAATCAGAATTAGGAGTATGGCATAAATCAGAGTTTGTTAGTTAGAAAAAGCTTTATTCAGTCAGTGATCGGTTGACTGAAAATTTTTGAAATATTAAGAACGAATAAACAACTAATTTGCGAATTTAAATAGAAGTTTGAAAGCAGTGGTGATCAGTGTTTGAACCTTAATTTCCTGAAGTTTATCCAATTACTTTCTATATTCAATATCTTACTATTATTAAAAAAAGTGACATGATATCTTTAACAAACTGATAAAAACAAAATATTCTCTTGATTGTTGTAAAGCGAGATATGAATTTCACATTTTTCTCGACCCTGATCTCACGTGAACTCACTGTAGATGGAACTTGATAGTATTGTTTGATTAAATAACATTGTGATAGATACATGTAGTATTATTATGAGCTGGAAGATAAGGTAATCTATAAACTGTTGTAGGAAATAGCTAAATTATCCCATATATTTACGTATTCAAGGTGTATAATTGAACTGATACCCGATAAACTTGAATAAAAGTTAATAAGCTGAGCAATAATTGTCAGTTTATTTCTAACTAATGAATAAATTATTTTCAATGGAATTTTATATATTTTTCAAAAACCTAGTAATTAAAAAAAATCTATTTATAAACCTGATGGAGGAAAATGAAAATAAACTTGAATACAATCATTTACAAAAATTTATTCATCTGCATAGTCATGCAATTATAAATTTAAACATACATCAGACGTTGAGCGTAAATTTAAAAAATCTAACAAAATTTAGCTAGTTGCATTGTTTTCACACTATTGAGTTTTTATGATTGTTAAAATTGTTCATTTACGATAATTGCTTTTTTTACTGTGAAAATAGTTTGAATATCAGGTTGTATATTTCGCTTTCCTATACAGTAAACGCAATCAACTACCGATTATATATATATATATATGAAATTGCATTTATGCATATATAGGCGACTGTGTTTTGTTCAGGAAGTATGACAAACGCGGAAACGTATGAATTTGAAACAGATTATTGATACAGGAAACAATATTTCATATTTCATAATAACTGCAAAAACAATTTTTACTATCATTCTAATTTCAGAAAAAAATTCATATAATTATCAGTTGTTCCCTTTAATTGATACAATTGTTATGATTTGAAATATGCGTAAATGTTGCGTAAAGTTATTAAAAAAATCAAAGTTACTAATATGTACAAACTGACCGTAGGTATGAATGTTCGATGCTCAATAATGTATCATAGGTCAGCTTTTAAATATGTAAAACCTTTGATTGAATCTGCTTGATCTGTACATCTCATAAAACAGAGATTTAAAATACACTGACTGTTGCTTCTATTGCTGTATAATATTTATTATTTACTTTCTGTATGATTTTACGTTACATCTTATCAGTTCTATTCAGTATAAGGTTTAACAACAAAACAATCAATTTCCTCACGTCAAAGCTGCATTTTCTTGAATATAGATTACAATCATACTAAATCCTATTTTGGTACTATTTATTAATCAAGTGTAGGGATTCGTTGGACATGAAGGATCTAAAATCTATGCAAAAGAAAATTTAATGAAGCACGAATCAGTAAAAGAAGCTGTCTTGTGACAATGTCAGTTGATATGACTCTACCGTTTTTATATCGTTGACCCATTTGAAGCATATATGTCACATTGTGGCATATTCTTTAAAACAGAAGAACAAGAACGTAAAAAAGAATATGTAAACATGAAGTGAACTTTTGGTCTTTGTGGTCACATGTGTGAAAAAAGGCTTTACAAGCTAGATTATTCTACATTAGAGCTTAATTTTAATGGTTTCACAAAGAAAATGCTCTAAGAAATGATATTTTATGTTTTTACACACAATTTAAATACAAAATATACAGACAATTAATATTCAGAACACCTTGATATTCAAGCGCTGAAAACTATGTACAAGGTTAACAAAGTAAGATCTGTTGCTAAACTAAAGCTAGCTCTGCATAGTGCATATAATATATAATATTCATTAACCAAGTTAAAAATGCACATATATTTAGGTGTATCATGCATTCATATATACACTAACCAAAATATTTACTAATCCTCTAACCAATACTTCGGAAGAATTTCGAATCTAAGTAAGTCGCATTGATTTAAGTTCAATTAATTCAGTGTACAGGTTACATATCAAAGACCAAATCAATGTGAAAAATAGTTCTATCAAATATTCTTTAGTTCGAAAACTGCCTTACTTCTGACTGATAATTGTGACTGACTTGATCTCCTTTCTTACAACGTGTGTTGAAATTCGGACGAAATTTAAATGTTGGATATTATTAGCACTAGTAGAAAAATAGTATAGTGAATAGTTTCTAATTACACTGATAGAAACTCTGAAAAATACTGTTGACTAATATTCTAGTAGTTGTGTATCCACTGTACTGTACAAATGATTAATCCGTTAGATAGGTTTGGAATTTTTGTACAGTGTATGACGATTAATGATCCACGGTAAGCGCAAAAAATCCTTTACATTTTAGGATCCTATGGCATAAAATATTCTTGAATCACACTCTGAGAATAACAAAAGACTTGTTAAATTCTAGGAGTTATGATCAAACATACGAGTTATTTTTCAAGAATGTGCACTTCAATATTTATATAAAGCTACTTTAAAAGTTTGATATATCTGTTATGTAATTTAAAACTAGACGACTGGAACCCATTGAACGGTCTTATCTATAATGCATGTTTTATTCTGATAAAGCGGAGGTTAGAACTTTAATCTATTAATTTACGCAGCCACATTTTCCAACGGTACATATACAAGTAGTGGAACTAAAGTGATTTAGAGAAAGACTAGTAGATATGAAAAGAAAAGCTGGAGCAGCATAAAATTAAATAACTCAGAAAACTCAAAAAATACATGGATTTAATTTATTCCTAAAACTATTGAGCCGTATAATATAGAAATTCTCACCACTGGTTTATGTAATCATGCGAATATCATTATATAAGTAGTCCGTTGATTTCTTGATCGTTTACATCATTATTAGTTGAGTCACTATTTTTTCTTTGCTCGATTATAAAAGTTCGTACAATTCACTTTTATTTAACTCAGCATTAAATACTAAAGTGTCAAGAATCTTCTTAGCTCTAAAAATTCATTATATCATTGATTTCGTTTAAAATAAGCAGTATTTTTATGAGCTAACGATCAAATATTTATCTCCTCCATTCCGAGTAACTATGTTTCACAACCGTATCCTCTTTCTCAGCTTTGTTCAGCGTCCAAACACCTAGCTTATCTCACACACTCAGTTTTTGAATGAACTTTGTCACCGTCGATTAATCTACTGGATCTGATACATTCCTTGATGTTCATGCAGTAATTCACCAATTCCAAATGCTAGTTTTCTGATTACTGAATTAAATCTGAATACTGAACAGTTTCATCATAATTTTCAGGATTGAAACCAATACCGAACATTCTCAGATTTTGTGTGAGACTTTTCATAGTCGGTATATTTAGAGATCTCCATTTTGATGAAACTTTATTATCTGGATTAAATGGAGGAACCAGAGATACCCTAATGCAAATCATTCATGACAAAATCAAATGATGAAGATGACTAAATTGACCTATATGACTATCATCAACTTAATCAATCTGTACCAGAACATACTTCACACTATTAACCACTATAAATATAGTGAATGTTTTCTTTGAAAATAGTTCATTGCTTACATCTCGAGATAACTAACCAATTAGTTAATCTAGTGAATAAAAATCATACTTATCGTAATTAAGAATGTCTCTTAGGAAGTACCATATTTGATACTTGAGATACCTACATATGATTGACTGTAACTTTAGTAATTTTGTGTTTACTTTTCTCGCTGTTCAATTTTAAATCAACAGATATCATTTTATACAAAAAAATTAAGAACTTTAAATTTCTGCTGAAAATTATCAATTATTTCAATCCGATATAAATGTGTGTTGTATTAGAAATAATCATATAATTTAATACAGAAATTAATAAAATAAGATCAATTTTAATTTTGTGAACTTTAAAGTAATTTCTAGATAGTTACGGTCACTTTATTCAGAGTGTTAATCAATATTCATCTTAATAATTTAGTAATTTTTCTATTTATTTCACTCTAAGCTTGAAAAATATGTCAAAATTATATATCATAAATAGGTTTTTCAAAATTTCGTTAATCAAACTAAAATTAAAATTAATTTCAAAACTAAGTAAATTTTACGATGTATTGATTAATAGGACCACACAACAATAGATTAAGACAGAGGAGTCAGGTTTTGGGGACAATTTTTTTCGATGTCTGAGTTAAACTAACATTGATTGAGAAGTGAGCTCTTATTTAAAGATACATAATTTCCCAGTTTCTGAACTACGTTGATAAATGTAAACATAATGTTTCCGATTGAATGCAGCCAAAAATCTACACCCTATGGTTAATTAAATGTTTACTCTGTGCTTTACTGAATAAAACATAACCATACTGAGTTGTTCTGAATAGTTATTCTATTTATGTTTTGTTGTGACCAGCGTTTTGTAAAAGTTTCATATTTAGTCTTAAGTAACCTGGTAATGAATACTGTAAGGAAAATAATTGAGAAACATTAGTTGACACACTCAGTAGATGATTAAGATACAACATATATTACTTATCAACGGAAAACTGTCTGTACACAGTTGCGATGATTAAATGTGAAACAAATCGAAACTTGCGTCAGTGTTTGAACCACCCACTCCAGAACTGCTGTTTTTCATGTCTCTGTAAGCTTAATTCCAAGAGTTAGCTAATAAACTGATTTGTTAACCTCCACCACTACAGTTTCTTCTCTAAGAGAAAGCTAGTGTCACAAAACGAAGTTATCAACCCAACTCCTGTAGGTAGGTATAATACGTTGATAAGGCATACTGAATATGTTTTCAGTTTCCCACCTGTGCATAGGTGGGATTTTAAATCTCAGTTTGTATGCTGGGATATTTTTCACCTATTATCTTCACACCAAAATATCAGTCTGTAAGCCAAAGCTTACTCTAAACAAATGCTTTTTTATTTCTAATAAAACCAAAGAAACTTTTTATTGGAATGAGTACTTCGTTACTTTGCCCACTTTTAGGCTGGTAAATCTACCAGAACAACAACTCTGCCATATAAATGATCTTTAAGGAATATTTAATATCAAACTTCTGGATTTTTATATCCATTATTTCGCCAAAATGAACCTAATAATTTTTATTGATTATTTATGAACACAATTCTCAACATAGTAGGCTGTAAACACGGAGCATTTTATAATTAGATATATTTTGAATTATTCCGATATTCATTGCAGTTTCCTAAAAGATGAGTGTAAAATCGATTACAAATAACTTCCGTTAGTGAAACGGTACAGTTTACACTATTTCAATATCGATAACCTTCCGAACCGTACGAAAATTCATATCTTATTTTTATTTTTGGAGTTAACAATATTTCTTTTGTTCTATCAGTTACAGATAAGATGTAAACCGTAAATGCATGTTAAATAATTATTGAAACAAAATGGTTTGGTTTATTTCATGAGTAAAATTTGTATGATGGAAGAAGATAAACTAAAAATTGGAATATCTTTGACGGGAACTTATAATAAAAAACAAAATGAAAGATTCTAGCAATCAGATAATATTATAAATGTGACTAAATTTCCGAACACTTTAACTCCTAACAATAAAGATGTTCCAGTACTTATGTATACTACTATAATGTTATCTGATAGCTTCCTATTTTTAGGCAAATACTGATTATGTATAGTTTTCAAATATTGCAGGACGATTTTCATAACGAACCGACACCGGCTGGAGAAGCACCAGTTAAAAGAAAGCACTTAACAGACATTTCATACTAACATGAGTGCATTAATTCAGTAAACACTCTCTTGTTTTCATCCAAATTGTCAAATAATCCTATTTGGTGGTCAAAGTTGTCCTTGAAAGTTACATTTTTCAAAAAACCTGAATAATAGTGGTAATCAAGCTAATCACGAAAAAATGTTACTAATTTTTGTTTGATGAGAATTATCCAGAAACTAGGTGAAAATAATTTATGTGTTGATTTAAATAAGCAAACGTAAACAAATGATAAAAATTTCTGACATTTCACGGAAATATCAAATATCATTAAAGTTTATCTTATAAACAAGATAGTTACATTCACTAGTCTATTAATTGGTGAATTAAACTTACCAAGACAGCGTACTATTCTATGCAACTGATCAATATCAGAATCACCAGGGAACAAAGGATCACCTGTTAACATTTCTGAAGCAAGGCAACCAATAGCCCAAACGTCAATCGGTCTGATTAAAGAGAGTAGTAATAACATTAAGTGGTGTTATTGTAGTTAATAATCCATGTACTAAACAGATATAGTGACGCAAAATAGACTATAATGTTCAAAAGATATATTCGCTGTTAGTGGGATAGGATACAAACGAATCGAACAATGATAAATCTCTGATGTTAACTTGATGGAACGAGTATCGTACTTATTTTCCATGTTTTATATTAAATGTTCTTATTCATCATAACGTTTTCAACACATTAAAATCTACAGCTAATGCTGGGGAAGCAAAAATGCATATATGCAACTAAGAACTCTTTTTCTACTCAACAAATACTTATAATTTTGAGGAAGAATTTTAAGTTAGTATAAATATCTAACAGTTTCAGTGAAATAAACTAATATAATCAAAGCTTTTATTTTATTAAGCTAAAAAAATTTGTCCAGTTTTACTAATGTAAATGAATTAAATATGGTATAATTTATTAGCTGTAATTCCCAAAATCTACAGAATAAACATTCAATCTAAAATGAACTGTAGTGGCGTTTATAGGCAAAATCATAACATCAGCCCCTTACTTAACAGAACTATGTTCTCTTTGAAACTATTCAATCTAATTCATTGAACTGATATATTATTGTTACTTTCAACATCAAAATAGTACCGATGTGGTATGTAGTACTAACCGCGGAGCTTTTAAATAGTATGCAGTGGATATGCATTAGGGTGTAGAACTAGATTTACGGAAGAGCAAAGAAGTCTTGGAAACGGATTTATGTCACTATCCGGGTGTTTTGAGAAATAAAAGACATGTAAGAGAATAAAGCTAAGAATGAGCCTGTTTCGCTTAAGGATGTTTTATGACAAGGTGTACACTCTTTGGTTAGTAGTTGTTTCTTTACAAACGAACTATTTCAATTTATATTATATCTTCACTGATTACACAATTACTATAGAGGTATAGGGATTCTCAACCGAAACTACAAAATTGAGCTAATCTAGGTGTTGGACACTTAAAATGTGTGAAACAATTAAATAGACCATGAATTATGTTACGCATTAGTTATATACTCATCTTATATTGTTCTTAGTTCCTATATATTTCATTTCAGTGGTATATGACTCCTTATTTATGTTAGGTAATAAATAGTTTGGTAATCTAACGACTTTTCTGATTTTACTTTCCCTATATTGCGACTGTAGATCTTGAAAATTGAAAAGAGTTAACAAAATTTTTTCGATGAACAAAATTAATCATATATTTATCACAACAGATTGCTAGACCACATTGAGTTAGCCGAAAAATATTTTCAATGTAGGGTTGTGGAGATTGTTCAGTTTCATTAAAATCACGAATCGACCAATGCCAGACCTCCATTAGAAACTTGAAGGCACTGGACAATTTTTCGTCCTAGTATGGGACTCTCCAGCAGTGCGCATCCACGACCAGAATCGAGCCGAGTACTTTCGGCTCCCTACGTGAACGCCTAACCTCTGGACCAGTGAGCCGGAACCCGACGATATTAATGTTCGACTTCAATCAATCCACAGTATTGCTCTACCTTGTTCACTGTCTTCGGTAATTAACTGCTAGACAACCGACACTTCTGATCACGGCTTCCATGTTTATAATGCTGAACTAGCACTGATCAGTTACTGATTTCAAAAAAAATATTTTAGAAAAACATGTTAGATATGAAGCTATCTTATGATTTAACCTTTAATTTAGCGAGGCATATTATTCATACCATAGCTGGATGTTAAAAAATCACTGTATTGCTGTAATATACTAGACTTCATATTTAGTAATGTTATACTCATATGCTAATGAATACGAGACAGTGTCGTCGTTATTTGACCTTATCAGACCTTCAAATATAAGTACTGTGCATTAACTGTTGAATATTCACAAAATTCATGGAAGCTCCTTCAATAGGTTGCCCTTCTGTGGCCGAGTTCCAGCTCAAGTACAAGGCTTTTAGTTACAGTCAGTGGTATACAACCTATGAAATAATGTGCATCGGTTCCTGTCACCAAAATGTATTTTTATATTAAACCAACACGATACATAGAGAAAGATTGAAAGTTATAGCACTGTATCCGTTGGTATGTATGTTATATAGTTTATCAAAAATTGTAATGAAATAAAGAGATAAAAATTACAAATTTACTTGAACCTTCAGCGACAAAATGCATTATTCCCACCCTTAATGCCTCTAGGACATGCCGCTCGAGATCTTCAGCGACTGATAGCAATTAGCACGAGGACACTAACTAGCTATTTTGCACTTTGAGCACGGTTCAGGCCAGTAATTAAAAGACTACAGCTATGGATTGCTTGAATTCCCACAGATTTCTTTAGATTGATTATAATGAAATTCTATCCTTCTTGTTGGGGTAGGCAGTATCCAGCCATTCGTAATATGTATCCAAATCATCGCAGACGGTGCACATTTAGTCCAGGTAACTGACTTTTCATGGAAACGTTTGAAACATCAACTATTTTTCTGGGTTTATTTTGTTTACTTAATCCATTTAAAAACCCATTGGTTATTAAGCCAGAAATTTTTGGGGAGTGTATTAGTAAAACTAGCTTCTCTGTGGTGATTACGATTGATTTTTCGTTTTTTCTATTATCTACTGCAATAGTCAGTAATCCCCGTCGGTCAGATGAAAGTGTAATCAGCTTATACAGTCTGCTTAAAGTACCAACCATTTCTAAAATAATTCGAACTTTTAGACCAATAATTCAAAACAGCTATTGCTTTATCAACCTCATCAGCGGTTGGGGGACTTGTATTAACCAACTTTTCGGAGTTCTTGATAATACTAGACAGTTTTAGACCAAGCAAAGTTGAACTGTTCCTTAATGAACTTTAACCATCGTCCCAGCGTTCTGGTTCTAAAAAGTACTAATTCTCAACATTTTTCTTGATGGTTTCAAAAATAGACGGCTTTTTAAGCCATATATTTATTGACGAACTCGAACTTGTTATCATTGCTTTATACCATCTACTTTAATTCTACTTCTCTTCACTCCTTAGTATATTTGTTAAGAGATCTTTCGAGAGATTGTCTTGTGTTTGGAATAAGGCAAAACTAGTTTTTGGATGTTTTGCAATTCAGCGAAACCAACCAAGACGAACTGGTATTTCTTGATCCTTTTATTCTCACCACTAACATGTATCACTTTTTTACTTGATACTATTTGGAAAACCAAGTGACACTCAGAAACGGTAACTTTAGAAAATACTAGGCACTCTTATTTGGCATACCTGAGTTATGAACTCATTTTACACCCATATCTAAAGACAAACTTACCCTTAACAAACGAAAAGTGAGATAATGAAGTTTGCACATAACTTCAAATCTGTAAAATGAAGCTAACCTGCCATATTTCGTATCTCCAACTAGAAGTTCTGGTGCTCTGTACCACCTGGTGGCGACATAATCTGTGTAAACTTCACCGGGTGCAGCAAGTGTTCGAGCAAAACCAAAATCACATAATTTAACTACACCATTACGGCTGATGAGAATATTCTCAGGTTTGATATCACGATGAACTATCTATAACATAAAACGTGGTTTTAATATTGTAAACATTTTAGAGCTAGAAATTGACTCAGATTTGAAAAATGATCAGTTGGAACTTCAGTTCTAAAACCAGCTTAAATTGAAAACGTTATGTAAATATATTTTATACCTTGATGTTGATCAAGTATCCAGCTGAAAAAGGCTTCATGTTTTTATTTTTTGTAATGTCGTAATATGACAGTTGACAATGATTTGCTCGCTGTAGCCCTGTTTTATGCTCAAAGTCTGATGTTAGTGATAAGTATTTGAATAAATTTGTTACTTTAACGTAATATCCGTATAAACATTATGGAGAGTATTTTATTCTAAAAAACACCAGATGATGCTGACATTCATTCAATCATATGAGAACTAAAATTTTTGAATACGAATGACGTAAGTTTGGATTTAATGATAATTTTTGTTTCATTAAACTAATTAAAGAGTACATAGCTCAGTAGTCTTGATTTTTCGATTTAGATACAAACGTTTTATTAACCAGTAGTGCAAAAATGGGCTGTTCACCTAGTGTTCTCTATTTAAGAATGGGGGTAATTTTACTTGAATTTAGAATATCTATATAAGCGAAAAACCATTCGTATTCTGTGTTTATTATTAAAAAAAACCTTTTGTGAAGCATATTAAAAACCTAATAGGTAGCTGATCACCTAAGTACTTTATCTTCATACTTTTAATTCCAGTTTACCAAACTGACAGTCAGTTCTATTGTTTTAAGAAAAACAAGTATTAACAGATTGTGTAGCGAATTCCTGAAATCAGGAATTACTATCCATCATTTATCATAAATAATCACCGACTTTTCTCTAACACACTTAAGTACCATCTTACTTAATTATGTACAACATTTTTCACTTTAGGTAATATCTTTTTATTTGGCTGGTTTTAAATTCTCATAATAACTGTAATATTAAATTGTGCTTTTATTTTAGTTCAAAGCAAAAATGACTGCAGCCAAAACTGACTGTCTAGTAATGTAAAGTGACTAAGAAAGAAAGAAGTTGGAAATGTCTGCTGAATGCAAAAACTTTGGACCGGCACAAAATGGTGATGAGGCATGATTTAAATCGTGTAAAGTTTCATAGATGAGTTTTATTTATTAAAAATTACTTATCTAAATCGATTATCCCGAAGAATTTTTATTAGTATCTTGTTGATCAGTAGAAAAATATTTTTTAGATACTGTTTCTACATACCATATTAGTATTTACAAAAGATGTTCATGGATTTGTCTTGATCAACTAAGATAATAAAAATGGATAAACTGTAGTGATCCATAAGATTACTGATGATTTAGTTAATGACGATCTTATTTTTCTGAAGGCATGATCTGAAAAGGTTTTCTAAAAATGAAAATGTGATTAGATGAGAGAATGAAGTTATCCTTAGTTTCTTAGATATCTAATGATACTCTGTTTGTGCAGAAACGACGAAGATATGACTTTTTTAAGTATGAAAAACCAACTGATTTAGTTGCGTATATTTTGATTCATCTTGTAACACAAAAATGCCCTAATAACAAACAGATCTTAATTTTATAAAACAACAATATATGAACTGACATCATTCCACTTTGTTAACCGGCAAGATTAATTTCCTATTTACCTACTCTTAAACTGTACATACAGTTAATCCGATAACTTGCAAAAATGGACAAGCAAATAAGGCAGCTAAGAACAACGCACCTAAATTCTATGCGACAGATTAATTAGCTTGTGAACATTTGAATCTCAGATTAAAAACTTTTAACACGCCATAACGTTGAACAAAGTAAGACCATATGCTGACGATATTTTTAACGTTCGGTTGAGTATCCCCATCAAACATAGAAAAATCTTAGTACCTCATAAAAATATTCAACACTAAAAGCGTTGTATATCTGGTGCGGGGCTATGTTTAATGTTCAGAAGACACGCGTACACTTATTTGAGACTTTTAATCTGGTTATACCCGGGACCCAGTGAGGATGTGCGCAGTGAGGTACAAATTTTATACATTAAGCTTTAAACACACACCAATTACCTACTGAATCAGGTTCAAGTAGCCACTCACCCCTTTTGCAGGTAAGAGACAAGCAAAAGAAAATGGACAATGAAGACTAATCAGTTGCAATTTTTTAGTAAAATTAGCTGAAAAATTCGAAAGCACTGAGTAGATACAAATGTATTTGGGGTACATCATCACACCTTTAATGTACGAGACCTCTTTTACTTTATTATTTGTAACTGAGCGTATGTATAATAGTTGAGTTTAATTGGTCTATTGAGAATACATTAAAACCAGATGATTTTCTATCGTTAGTAAAATTTGTGAAAGAGCTTATATTGACGAACACATTTTATTAATTATTGCCTAAAAGCAAACTTGAATTGGGTAATTTATATTCTGTAATCGTCGTTTCAACGGTCTTTCAGCCTTAAAAAGTCAGTTTTGGACACGTGTGTGAATATATGCAGTTATCTGCCTATCAAAACTTTCATAGGAAATCAGAGAGCATTTAAAATAGTTATGTCCACTTGTTTCCGAGATATGAACTGTATACATATTAAATTCTCTCTACGTGAGAAAAGACTTATCATTATCACACATTGTTAGAATTGCTCATTTTGTTACAGACTCTATCTGATTTTAGGTCAACAGGATTTGGAATGCTTGATAAAGTCCAAATAAACGGTAAGATTGCTCTGATTATTAAACGTTTAACGTTTAAAAAATATAGCTTTAGTGCATGAAAAGTTTAGAGAATTCAGCGGAATACGGAGAATTTACGGTCGAAACAGTAGAAAAATAGGTACTTGTAAAATTTTTTTGTGCGACAACATAGGCAGCCTAATGCTCCGCCATATTAAAGATAGTTAAGATGATGAAATATTATTGCAGGGACAGTGGCACTGTAAAACGTCCTCCAACTCAATTCTCAGGCGTAATCGGATAATGTTTCTCTTAAAGTACTTGTTTCCTTCCTACGTACCATTGATGGCGTAACAAACTCACCTAAAAAACTCTGTTTTGACTTTCTGTAATAATAAGAAAAGTCACTTGATTCTATACAAATGATTCTACAAGCCGTGTCAAGTGGTCTACCGAACCTCATCGAGGTCAGGAACAACCAACGCGAATTAATCGGTTACATGTCGAGGACAGGGGGATACGTTAGTGGTTCCGCCTTATGATTCTGTTGACCATTGAAATAAATATATGCTGTCACTTTTCAAGGCTATTTATTCTACCTAGTCACCTGGTTAGGACAATCGTATAACCCAGGAGAAACATTATTCGTATGATGTAACTTAGATGTATGCCAGATGGTCATACCATTCCCGTTCTTGCAAACGCTTTTCAGGTAGGGCTTATTACAAATGTTTTATTTCGACTTTAGTATTCTGAACCGAGTTGCGAGTCTAATCGATGAAATTTAATAACTAACTACGGTTGAAATTGGCTATCATATTTCTTCACATACATTTCATGATGTTTGATACCATAATATTACCAATGTAATACTGTCAACTTACATTATGTAGATGACAAAATTCAACTCCACGAATCACTTGAAATAAGGTGCGCTTTGTGCGCAGTTCATCTATTCCATTAGGATATTTTTCCAAGTCATCCAGTATGGTATTATCCACAAATTCAAAAACAAGGTATAACCGTTTCTTTCGCCTGAAAACTTCTAAAAGGTTGACCAAGTTATCATGACGCAGTTGCTAAAAATATAACTTTATCATTTTATTTACTTTTAACATCCTTATTTCACGAAGTGCTATTTTTTTAACATGTTTGTCGTCCTCGCTATCAATGAATTTTTTAATTGCCACAATCCTTCCAGATTCCTTATTTTTGCACTTTATGACCATTCCATAACTACCTTCTCCGACCAGTCCGAGATTCTCGTATTTTTCCATTTATATCATATTACTCACAAATCCGACAGACATCACGAAATCACCTTTGTACTCACGACTTAAGAGCCACAGTGGCGCAGCACGCTAAAACAATATCCAATATCTTTTTCTTGGACTAGTATGAACTAACTAATTACTCTATGCTTGATTCTTGTTTCCTTGGTACGGTCCTAAGTGTTTGGTAGTTTATAGTGAGTGGAAAGTGAATGAACTTTTTAACAATCAGCGAAATTTATTTACAGCATCTGCAACTATTCATTTGACTCGTGTCGGTTAGTACAAGTAATCAGATCAATCTCACTTGTTTCTTCACCATGATAAAAATATTCTAGAATCGACTTTCCAGCAGAATAGTGATGTTCAAAAGGTTGGAAACGGACTGGGAGAAGTTTCCGCTTAACGGGTTTCTATACCAAGTAATAGTGGATCACCGATGCCTTTGGTCAGGAGCGAATTAGAACTGTTAATAAATTATAATGCGATGCTGTCTCGAGCCCTTGAAAATAAGTTAATTTTCTTCCTGAAAAAGTCCTGAAAAGTCGCTTAGATCACTGCAGCGAGTAGAGAATTTCATATTTTGACTACCGGTAAAGCATACAACGTGTAACTACAGTCTCTTCTTTCTGTGCTTCTAGTTTTTGGGTATTGGTTCTAAGATTAGTGTTCGGATTGAACCTAAGTACGTTGTTAGGATTTTCAGAAGTGTTTAGAGTGTCTTCAGTCACTGAAGTGTCATAGTTGAGACGCCACTGCTGGACTGAGTACACTACTAATGAGTTGGAACTCCCAGATGTTAACCGGTTCGAGCTTTCGAAGTTTCAGTGAACCGATTACTAGTGGAATCTGAATTCTACTCTACCTAAAGCGATTTATCGAAACAAATTTTTGTTTCTTCCCTCACTCTCAGCTGCATGAGATCTCAATGCATTACAACCTCCACATGAGTAGCTTCAACTTTTAAGTGTGAAGGTGTGATTTGATGTTTCATCTGAATCATTACAATGGCAATTAGATAACATAAAAGGTATCACATAAACGATTCTCCTTCCATCTCAGTACCAGGTGGTAGATGATGCTCAGTGGATATTAAGGGTGAAGTAATAAGTGCTCATTTCGGTGTTATTGGAAAATATTAATTATCTCATAAACCTCTTAGTGGCAACTCCAAAACAATCACTTTGACCCTATACTTATTCTCACTTTTATGACATGAAATCACTCGACCATGAAACTTGAGGCCGTAAATAAATTCCCCAAATAAATCGCTGTGCAAGTCTATTTCATTAGTTTAACCAGACTCACCATGCTATGAGATCCCTCTATTCTCGACTTGCCGACAATTTTGTATAAATTTTGCGTATCGTGATGTGATTTTTCCTTTCATTACTTTATCATTAGTAGGTTTTTATTATCGATAAATCGGGGCACAAACTTATGCTATAAGCACCTCGGACATGCTCCCATCTTTCACTGTATTCCAGTCTGGCTCGAAATATGCAAACGTTGATTTTCTCCGATTGTTCATACTTGCGATACCTTCAAAGCTTCAATATTATGGAAAAAGCCGTTCTCAAGCGAGCGAATCTAACCGATCTGTAAAGACTAACACAATTTATACACAAACTCCAACCACAACACGGTTTGGCAACAGAAAGGTTTCTACATATGAGAAACACCAAACTCCCTGAAAAATACAATATTGCTTCAAAATAAGATCGCAGAATCACTGCTTCTATCTGCTTACAGGATTCTGAATGACGAGGTGTATAGCAACCGCGCAAGCAGAATAAAACTTATATCTTAACCATATTTGTGGGATTAGATTTCATTGAAACAGGATTGAAACGTTAGGAGTGAATCCGCGATCATCCAGACCTGAGTGAGAATCGATAAGCTGGAAACGGTGTATAAGTTGAACCGTGAAGTCGTCTAGGAAACGCAATCGAAGGGAGCTGCAGAATATTTCCTCTGTTGCAGCACCATACGTCTGGACTTCAACGATATCCTCCATCGAAAGACCTGAATATGTTATTGCTCAGCAAAAGAGACCTGATGGAAGCATGTAAATAATTATGATATTAAAAACCATTGACTTAGCAAACACGATTATAATCTAAAATTCATCCTGTCTGCAAATAATGTTTAATTATTACAGTTCATGCCTACGGTAGACAGTTAATTTACTAAAGCTAATCAGAAACAGTGACATGAATTTACTACTTCTAAAAATAGGATTCAGAATTTATCCTGTATGGAGTCCTTTAATGTCATTGTCGGTCCCAAACTCGAATAAAATAAGAGGGTTAAGCATGGATTAGCGATCCCATACTGTAGAAAACTAAATCGCTAAAACCGGATAACCTGAACAAATAATTCAAACCACTTAAACTCTGCCCTGAGAGTTAGAAAGTCTTAACTTAGAAGAGTTATGATGCCCCATAGTAAGGAGCAAGTATTATCGACAGTAACACAGCCAGTAGCCCTTCTGACAACAACAGGAACAACTAATATAGGTACATGGAATGTGCAAACAACGACAGGTTTAAGGTCAGTAGCAACCAATCAAGATCGAGGTCAGATTCGATCAGAATGGCCGATTTGAATTTTTATACAAAATGCATGATGAAAAATTTCAGTGTTTTAGTAAAATATGAAGACATCGCAATAAATGTGCCATTCACACATCTTTGAACCAACCTTCACTATCTTCAATGTTCATCCATCCTTGTTTTTATTCTGGTTGCCTACTGTTTTTCTTTCTTTTCTCTTCGGTTCTCCTTTCTGCCAACGAGAACACTACTTATCCTCGTTGCGCAACAATTATATCTTTCCATAAAAGATGGACAAACCACAATTGGTCAAAGTGGCATATGTGTACTTAATAATTATTGCGGTCATGTAGGTGGGGAATAACAAATAATAAGCAGAAAATCTGCTTTTTTTGGAACTCTGAATGCCAGCCCAAATCGGTGTACCTGTCCTATTGTGGTTGTTTTCAGGTACCTGCCGCTGGATTAAAGACGGTCTGTCCATCATGGACACCAAAACCCATCAAGTCAAAGGTTTCATTATTTCCTTAACAGTTGTTCCCAGTCATCAATCTGCAGTTTAATCCCGTCACAGCCAGTAAGAATGCTAAATCACATACTAGTTAATCTCGATAAACAGTTAAAGAGCTTTTGTCTGTCTCATAATATGTTACAATAAAAATATGACTCACTATCGTCAAACTGTTTCCTTACAGGGCCCACCTACACTGTTGATGGTCTCAATAGGGACGCAGCAAACTAAGTAGCTCAATGGGAACAGGCATGATGACGGCTAGCTTGACACCAAAAAATATTTTTATTACTCACCGTCTGTATGGCAATGAAAGAAAGTTATGGACCAAATTTAATGAACTCAGAGAGATAAAGTGTGATGGACACTGCAGTACAGTGATTTTCTTTGCAGACAAGTTTACCGAAGATTTTTTGTAAGAAAAACTTCTGTTGATATCTTTCAGATGTTTCGAGAGGACAAATTTGTCAGTGTGTGGGATGAAGATAATAATTAAGCATCCTCTTCGTCCACATCCGATGAATACTGGTCTTCTCTTTTGGGGCCGACATATGTCGTATGATTCACCGAGAAAATTAGTTGGAGCTTCCTTCTGACGCATGTACTATGATAACTATCTGGTGTGCCGATTCCTTCGATAGCTAATTTCTTTAAGCTTTCAGATCTGGCTGTGATAAGTCAACCTAATATCGGTATGGCATAGACTATCTCTGCTACGGTTTGTAGCCCTGTTCTGATATGGTAAGCAGGCATTGATGTGGCTACGCAGCCTTCATGCTTTATGTTGTTACACCGTTGTTTTAAATGACTTGCACCATTGTGGTAATAAGCACTGTTTCGTCTTTATTGTTTGTTTGAATTTACCACCGATGTCTGGGACTGCGAGTGATCAGTCTTTGTTGCGTATATGCATTTTTTGTAATTGCCACGATAATGCGTTATCATCATAGATGGATAGGTGATAGCGGCGGAATCCATGATGCTACTTCTGTTCTATTTGGGACTCGTCAGCTGGAAGTTCCAGCATTCCAGATTTTACGCCCACTCCACTTCAGAAGTAATTGGTTATCTGGACTCAGTAGATAGGTGGATAACGCGATGGCGTTTGGAGCCCAAGGTACAAGGTCTGAGATCGGAGTGAACGTCAAATCTGAGATGCAGGTATATCCAACCGGTTAGTTTCAAGTGGGAAGGAAAGCGCTGGGTTCCACTACTAGTCTTAACAGACTTCTGCCAACAAGAGTTATCGTCTTTTAGATCTCGTGGAGAACACTTACAAAATGGTCTGCTGATATAATATTAGACTTAGTGACAACGGCAACGTAACCGAGCAGTTTATCTTCACTAATTGTTTTGGGATCTAATTTTGTTGGCCCTTACTATTTTCCAGGTCGGCATTCAACATCTCATTTTATTCTACTGGTACTATAAGTTTGAAAAATGGGGTTTTGCAGTCAATTACTGTTGGATGACTTCAGCATCTCCTGTCCCTTCTCCCTGGACTGCTTGTAACTTTATGTTTTGTATATTTTAAATTGATTTGTAGCACGTATGATAGTGCGCAATGAAAATTTCGAGTCAACGTCCTCTTGTTTCTAGTCATGTCTGACAAACTTCTATTTGCACAGAGCCGCTCAACTCCCTATTTCAGTTTCTTGTAGTTTCTAGACCAAGACGTGACGGCTAAAGATCCCTAATTTTGAAAAATACCCATTTTATCGTTGCTCTCATCAGTTAAGTTTATATATATATGTCTCTGAATTTCAGTTCTTGACAACACTTTTGTTAGCAAAACCATTATGGTTTATGACCTTTACCCATTCACACCAAAGGTCAGGAGTAAAAATGGTCAAGGATATGTTCGGAAGGCACACAGCATATCATTCAGTGTGTAATCTAAATAAAATACTCGTTGCGAAGGGATGAATTCCCCAAAGTAATAATAATAATATAATTATTCTCAAATAACTACGTTACAAGAGTCACGCCACTTTACAGG